TTTTTGGGGATTTTTTGAGGATTTTTGAGGATTTTTGGAGGATTTTTTTGGAGTCTCAGCCCAGGAATTGTTCAATTCCATCATGGGCAAGACCCTTAGCATGTTCCAGGTGAATCCCGGGGATTTTGGGAATTTTTGGGAATTTTTGGGGAATTTTTGGGAATTTTTTGGGATTTTTAGGGGGTTTTCTGGGATTTATGTTGAATTTTTGGGGATTAGGGGATTTTTTTGGGATTTATTTTGAATTTTTGGGGATTTTTTGGGGTTTATTTTGAATTTTCTGATGATTTTTTGGGGTTTATTTTGAATTTTCTGATCTTTTTTTAGGAATTTTGGAGTTGGAATTTTTAGAGAATTTTTTGGGAATTTTTGGGGAATTTTTTTGAGGATTTTGGGGGATTTTTGGGGATTTTTTGAGGATTTTTTTGGAGTCTCAGCCCAGGAATTGTTCAATTCCATCATGGGCAAGACCCTTAGCATGTTCCAGGTGAATCCCGGGGATTTTGGGAATTTTTGGGAATTTTTGGGGAATTTTTGGGAATTTTTTGGGATTTTTAGGGGGTTTTCTGGGGTTTATTTTGAATTTTTGGGGATTTTTTGGGGTTTATTTTGAATTTTCTGATCTTTTTTAGGAATTTTGGGGTTGGAATTTTTAGAGAATTTTTTGGGGATTTTTGGGAATTTTCTGAGGATTTTGGGGGGATTTTTTAGAGATTTTTTAAAGGGAATTTCTTGGGATATTTTTGGCTTTTTTTTGGTTTTTTTGGGGAATTTCTTGGGGACTTTTGGGGTTTTTTTGGTGGTTTTTTTCGGAGGATTTTTAGGAGATTTTAAGGGAATTTGTCAGAATGTTAAGCGGATTTATGGGGAATTTTTGGTTTTTTTTTATTTTTAAGAGGATTTTTAGGGAATTTCTTGGGAATTCTATGGGATTTTTAGCGGATTTTTTAGAGATTTTTTTTAGGGAATTTTGGGGGATTTTTTTTGGAATTTCTGGGGAATTTTAGGAGACTTTTGGGGATTTTTTGGGGATTTTTTGAGAGTTATTTGGGATTTTGAAGAGATTGCTTTGGGATTTTTTTTTTTTTTTATTTTTTGGGAATTTCTTGGGGATTTTGGGGATTTTTTGGCGGGAGATTTTTAGGGGATTTTTAGGGCATTTTTTAAATCTTTAGGGAGATGTTTTGGGGATTTTTTTGGGGGGAATTTTTTGCCTCTTTATGCTTCCCCCTCCCCTGTGGGAATTCCGGGTTTTTCCCGGGAATTCTGAGCCGCGGAACCTTCCAGAAGCACCTGGAGAGCTTCGTGGCCGACTGCTACGACGCCATCGCCGTCTTCCTCTGCATCCACCTGGCGCTGCGCTTCCGCGCCCTCATGGCCAAGAGGGGCGTCCCCGCCCTCGACGGGTGAGAATTCCCAAAAATTCCCCAAATTCCCAAAAATCCAGCGGGAATTCCCCTCAAAATCGCTCGGGAAATCGCCAAAATCCATCAGAATTCCCCCTCCAAATTCCTCCAAATTCCCCTAAAATCCCTCAGCGCCCTCATGGCCAAGAGGGGCGTCCCCGCCCTGGATGGGTGAGAATTCCCAAAATTCCCAAATTCCCTCGGAATTCCCAAAAATCCAGCGGGAATTCCCCTCAAAATCGCTCGGGAAATCCCCGAAATCCATCAGAATTCCTCCTCAAAATTCCTCCAAATTCCCCCAAAATCCCTCAGGGCCCTCATGGCCAAGAGGGGCGTCCCCGCCCTGGATGGGTGAGAATTCCCAAAATTCCCAAATTCCCTCGGAATTCCCAAAAATCCAGCGGGAATTGCCCAAAATTCAGCAGGAATTCCCCCCAACATCCATCAGAATTTCCCTCAAAATTCCCCCAAAATCCCTCAGGGCCCTCATGGCCAAGAGGGGCATCCCCGCCCTCGATGGGTGAGAATTCCCAAAAATTCCCAAAATTCCCCAAATTCCCACTGGGAATTCCCTGAAATCCAGCGGGAATTTCCCTCAAAATCCCTCAAAATTCCCCCAAAATCTCTCAGAATTCCCCCCAAAAATCCAGCAGGAATTCCCTCCAAAATCCCTCCGAGTTCCCCTCAAAATCTTTCCAAAATTTGCCCCCAAATCCCTTGGAATTCATCCCAAAAATCCCTCAGGAATTCCATCCAGAATTCCTCAGGAATTCCTTCAAAATCCAGCAGAATTTACCCCAAAATCCTTCAGGAATTCCCAAAAATCCTTCAGGAATTCCCAAAAATCCCTCAGGGCCCTCATGGCCAAGAGGGGCGTCCCCGCCCTGGATGGGTGAGAATTCCCAGAAATTCCCCAAATTCCCCAAATTCCCACTGGGAATTCCCAAAAATCCAGCAGAAATTCCCCCCAAAATCGCTTGAAATTCCCCAAAAATCCACCAGGAATCCCTGGAAATCCAGAGGGATCCAGAACTCCCTCAGAAAATCCCTTTTAATCCACCCCAGACCCCCCGGAATTCCCTCAATTCCCAGAGAATTCCTCCCAAATTCCTTCAGAATTCCCAAAATACCCTGGATTCCCAAAAATCTCCTGGAAAACCTCCTCAAATCCATTGCAATTCCCTTTAAAATCCCTTAAAATCCCTTTAATCCACCCAGAACTCCCCCAAAAAGCCCTGGAATTTCCTCAAATCCCAGAGAATTCCTCCCAAATTCCCTCAGAATTCCCAGATTTCCCAAAAATCACTTGGAAAATCTCCTGGAATCCATCAAAAATCCCTTTAAAATCTCTTTAAATCCCTTTAAATTCCCTTTAGTCCACCCAGAACTCCCCCAAACCCTCCAGAATTCCCTCAAAACCCAGAGAATTCCTCCCAAATCCCCTCGGAATTCCCAAAATTCCATGGATTGCCCCAAATCCCCCAAAAATCTCTTGGAAAACCTCCTGGAATCCATCAAAAATCCCTTTTAATCCCTTTAAATTCCCTTTAAAATCCCTTTAAATCCCCTTTAATCCACCCAGAACCCCCCAGGATCCTCCCCAAACCCCCCTGGATCTGTCCCAACCCCCCGGAATTCCCTCAAATCCCAGAGAATTCCTCCCAAATCCCCTCAGAATTCCCAAAATTCCCCAGAATTCCCAAAATCTCTTGGAAAACCTCCTCAAATCCCTTTAAATTCCCTTTAAAATCCCTTTAAATCCATTTAAAATCCCTTTAAATCCCCTTTAATCCGCCCAGAACCCCCCCAACCCCTCTCAGCATTCCCAGATTTCCCAGAATTCCCAAAAATCTCTTGGAAAACCTGCTCAAATCCCTTTAAAATCCCTTTAAAATCCCTTTAAATCCCTTTAAAATCCCTTTTAAATCCCCTTTAACCTGCCCCGAACCCCCCAGGATCCCCCCCAGACCCCCCTGGGCACGTCCCAGCCCGCCCGGCATTCCCGGATTTCCCAGAATTCCCCAAAATCTCTTGGAAAACCTCCTGGAATCCATCAAAAATCCATTTAAATCCCTTTAAATTCCCTTTAAAATCCCTTTAAATCCCTTTAAATGCCTTTAAATCCCCTTTAACCTGCCCCGAACCCCCCCAAGCCCCCCCGGCATTCCCGGCATTCCCGAATTTCCCGGCGTTCCCGGCATTCCGCAGGTACTGGGGCTGGCTGCTGGAGCTGCTGTGGCCGCGCTTCGAGCTGATCCTGGAGCTGCACATCCAGAGCGTGCAGGGCACCGACCCCCAGCGCCTCGGCGGCCTGGACACCCGCCCCCACTACGTGAGCAGGGGAAAACTCGGAATTCCGGGGAAAAATCTGGGAATTCTGGGGGAAAAACGGGAATTCTGAGGGAAAAAAATGGGATTTCTGAGGGAAAAAATGGGAAGAAACTGGAATTTTGGGGGAAAAATCCATTGGGAAACCCCTGGGAGTGTCAGGGGTGGGCTGAGGGGTGAGGCACCGACCCCCAGCGCGGCCTCACTACGTGAGCAGGGAAAAATCCGGGAATTCTGAGGGAAAGAATGGGAATTCCGAGGGAAAAAATGGGAAAAAAAGGGAATTTTGGGGTAAAATTCATTAGGAAATGCCTGGGAGTGTCAGGGGTGGGCTGAGGGGTGAGGCACCGACCCCCAGGTGTGGGTCAGAGTATGTGAAGAGAAATCAGGAATTCCGGGGAAAAATTCCTGGAATTCTGGGGGAAAAAACGGGAATTTTGGGGGAAAAAACAGGAATTTGGGGGAAAAAAAACGGAATTTTGGGGTAAAATCCATTGTCAGGAATTCCCAAAAATCCCTCAGGGCCCTCATGGCCAAGAGGGGCGTCCCCGCCCTGGATGGGTGAGAATTCCCAGAAATTCCCCAAATTCCCAAAATTCCCACTGGGAATTCCCAAAAATCCAGCAGAAATTCCCCCCAAAATCGCTTGAAATTCCCCAAAAATCCACCAGGAATCCCTGGAAATCCAGAGGGATCCAGAACTCCCTCAGAAAATCCCTTTTAATCCACCCCAGACCCCCCGGAATTCCCTCAATTCCCAGAGAATTCCTCCCAAATTCCTTCAGAATTCCCAAAAATCTCCTGGAAAACCTCCTCAAATCCATTGCAAATCCCTTTAAAATCCCTTAAAATCCCTTTAATCCACCCAGAACTCCCCCAAAAAGCCCTGGAATTTCCTCAAATCCCAGAGAATTCCTCCCAAATTCCCTCAGAATTCCCAGATTTCCCAAAAATCACTTGGAAAATCTCCTGGAATCCATCAAAAATCCCTTTAAAATCTCTTTAAATCCCTTTAAATTCCCTTTAGTCCACCCAGAACTCCCCCAAACCCTCCAGAATTCCCTCAAAACCCAGAGAATTCCTCCCAAATCCCCTCGGAATTCCCAAAATTCCATGGATTGCCCCAAACCCCCCAAAAATCTCTTGGAAAACCTCCTGGAATCCATCAAAAATCCCTTTTAATCCCTTTAAAATCCCTTTAAAATCCCTTTAAATCCCCTTTAATCCACCCAGAACCCCCCAGGATCCTCCCCAAACCCCCCTGGATCTGTCCCAACCCCCCGGAATTCCCTCAAATCCCAGAGAATTCCTCCCAAATCCCCTCAGAATTCCCAAAATTCCCCAGAATTCCCAAAATCTCTTGGAAAACCTCCTCAAATCCCTTTAAATTCCCTTTAAAATCCCTTTAAATCCCTTTAAATCCATTTAAAATCCCTTTAAATCCCCTTTAATCCGCCCAGAACCCCCCCAACCCCTCTCAGCATTCCCAGATTTCCCAGAATTCCCAAAAATCTCTTGGAAAACCTGCTCAAATCCCTTTAAATTCCCTTTAAAATCCCTTTAAATCCCTTTAAAATCCCTTTTAAATCCCCTTTAATCCACCCAGAACCCCCCGGGATCCCCCCCAGACCCCCCTGGGCACATCCCAAGCCGCCCGGCATTCCCGGATTTCCCAGAATTCCCAAAAATCTCTTGGAAAACCTGCTCAAATCCCTTTAAATTCCCTTTAAAATCCCTTTAAATCCCTTTAAAATCCCTTTTAAATCCCCTTTAATCCACCCAGAACCCCCCGGGATCCCCCCCAGACCCCCCTGGGCACGTCCCAGCCCGCCCGGCATTCCCGGATTTCCCAGAATTCCCCAAAATCTCTTGGAAAACCTCCTGGAATCCATCAAAAATCCATTTAAATCCCTTTAAATTCCCTTTAAAATCCCTTTAAATCCCTTTAAATGCCTTTAAATCCCCTTTAACCTGCCCCGAACCCCCCCAAGCCCCCCCGGCATTCCCGGCATTCCCGAATTTCCCGGCGTTCCCGGCATTCCGCAGGTACTGGGGCTGGCTGCTGGAGCTGCTGTGGCCGCGCTTCGAGCTGATCCTGGAGCTGCACATCCAGAGCGTGCAGGGCACCGACCCCCAGCGCCTCGGCGGCCTGGACACCCGCCCCCACTACGGGAGCAGGGGAAAATCCGGGAATTCTGAGGGGAAAAAATGGGGATTCTGCGGTACAATTCCTTGGGAAACCCCTGGGAGTGTCAGGGGGGGGCTGAGGGGTGAGGCACCGACCCCCCGCGCCTCGGCGGCCTGGACACCCGCCCCCACTACGTGAGCAGGGGAAAACGGGGAAAATCCGGGGAAAAATCCGGGAATTCTGAGGGGAAAAAATGGGAATTCTGCGGTACAATTCATTGGGAAACCCCTGGGAGTGTCAGGGGTGGGCTGAGGGGTGAGGCACCAACCCCCAGTGCGGCTTCACTACGCGAGCAGGGAAAAGCGGGAAAAATCCGGGATTTCTGAGGGAAAAACAGGAAAAAATGGGAATTCTGAGGGAAAAAAAATGGGACTCCTGAGGGAAAAAATGAGGAAAAACGGGAATTTTGGGGAAAAAATCCATTGGGAAATGCCTGGGAGTGTCAGGGGTGAGGCACCGTCCCCCAGCGCCTCGGCGGCCTGGACACGCGGCCACACTACGTGAGCAGGGGAAGACGGGGAAAATCCGGGAATTCTGAAGGGAAAAACGGGAATTCTGAGGGAAAAAATGGGAAATTGGGGGAAAAAATCCATTGGGAGATCCCTGGGAGTGTCAGGGGTGAGGCACCGTCCCCCAGCGCCTCGGCGGCCTGGACACGCGGCCACACTACGTGAGCAGGGGAAGACGGGGAAAATCCGGGAATTCTGAAGGGAAAAACGGGAATTCTGAGGGAAAAAATGGGAAATTGGGGGAAAAAATCCATTGGGAGATCCCTGGGAGTGTCAGGGGTGAGGCACCGTCCCCCAGCGCCTCGGCGGCCTGGACACGCGGCCACACTACGTGAGCAGGGGAAGACGGGGAAAATCCGGGAATTCTGAAGGGAAAAACGGGAATTCTGAGGGAAAAAATGGGAAATTGGGGGAAAAAATCCATTGGGAGATCCCTGGGAGTGTCAGGGGTGAGGCACCGTCCCCCAGCGCCTCGGCGGCCTGGACACGCGGCCACACTACGTGAGCAGGGGAAGACGGGGAAAATCCGGGAATTCTGAAGGGAAAAACGGGAATTCTGAGGGAAAAAATGGGAAATTGGGGGAAAAAATCCATTGGGAGATCCCTGGGAGTGTCAGGGGTGAGGCACCGTCCCCCAGCGCCTCGGCGGCCTGGACACGCGGCCACACTACGTGAGCAGGGGAAGACGGGGAAAATCCGGGAATTCTGAAGGGAAAAACGGGAATTCTGAGGGAAAAAATGGGAAATTGGGGGGTAAAATTCATTGGGAAATGCCTGGGAGTGTCAGGGGTGAGGCACCGACCCCCAGCGCCTCGGCGGCCTGGACACGCGGCCACACTACGTGAGCGGGGGAAAACTCGGAATTCCGGGGAAAAATCTGGGAATTCTGGGGGAAAAACGGGAATTCTGAGGGAAAAAAATGGGATTTCTGAGGGAAAAAATGGGAAGAAACTGGAATTTTGGGGGAAAAATCCATTGGGAAACCCCTAGGAGTGTCAGGGGTGGGCTGAGGGGTGAGGCACCGACCCCCAGGTGTGGGTCACAGTATGTGAAGAGAAATCAGGAATTCCGGGGAAAAATTCCCTGAATTCTGGGGGAAAAAACGGGAATTTTGGGGGAAAAAGGGGTGAGGCACCGACCCCCAGCGCCTCGGCGGCCTGGACACCCGCCCCCACTACGTGAGCAGGGGAAAACTCGGAATTCCGGGGAAAAATCTGGGAATTCTGGGGGAAAAACGGGAATTCTGAGGGAAAAAAATGGGATTTCTGAGGGAAAAAATGGGAAGAAACTGGAATTTTGGGGGAAAAATCCATTGGGAAACCCCTGGGAGTGTCAGGGGTGGGCTGAGGGGTGAGGCACCGACCCCCAGCGCGGCCTCACTACGTGAGCAGGGAAAAATCCGGGAATTCTGAGGGAAAAAATGGGAATTCCGAGGGAAAAAATGGGAATTCTGAGGGAAAAAATGGGAAAAAACGGGAATTTTGGGGTAAAATTCATTAGGAAATGCCTGGGAGTGTCAGGGGTGGGCTGAGGGGTGAGGCACCGACCCCCAGGTGTGGGTCAGAGTATGTGAAGAGAAATCAGGAATTCCGGGGAAAAATTCCCTGAATTCTGGGGGAAAAAACGGGAATTTTGGGGGAAAAAACAGGAATTTGGGGGAAAAAAAACGGAATTTTGGGGTAAAATCCATTGGGAAATCCCTGGGAGTGTCAGGGGTGGGATGAGGGGTGAGGCACCGACCCCCAGCTGTGGGTCACAGTACGTAAGGAGAAATCAGGAATTCTTTGGGAATTTTTCTGGGAAAAAGTCCTGGGAATTCATTGAAAAATCCCTGGGAATTGTGGGGCAAATATCCCTGTTCTGGGGAAAAATCCATTTGAATACTGGTGGAAAATCCATTGGAGTTCTGGGGAAAAATTCCAGGAGAATTCCTGGGAGTTCTGGGGGAAAATTCCTGGAAATTGTGCGGGAAAGTTCCTGGGAATTCTGGGAAAATATTCTTGGGGATTTATTGGGAAATTCCTCGGAGTTCTGGGAAAAAGTCCTGGGAATACTGGGGGGAAATCCATGGGAGTTCTGGGGAAAAATTCCTGGGAGTTCTGGGGAAAAATTCCCTGGAATTCTGGGGGGAAATTCCCTGGAAATCTAGGGGAAAATTCCCGGGAATTGTGGGGAAAAAGTCCTGGGAATTAATCTGAAAATTCCTGGGAATTCTGGGGAAAATTCCTGCGGTTGCAGGGAAAAAAAATCCCAGGATTGATTGAGAAAAATTCCCAGAAATTCCCAAAAATTCCCAATTTTTCCCCAGCTTTGGTTTCAGCGAGAGGCCGGGAGCACCTCTGGCATTCCCAGAATCCCAGAAATTCCCAAGAATTCCCAGAAATTCCTAGAAATTCCCCAAAATTCCCATTTTCCCCCCAGATTTGGCTTTGGGAGGAGGCTGGAAATGACTCCAGAACCCCCAAAATTCCCAGAAATTCCCAAAAATTCTCGATTTTTGTCCAGCTTTGGTTTCAGAGAGAGGCCGGGAGCTCCTCTGGCATTCCCAGAAATTCTCAAAAATTCAGATAAATTCCCAAAAATTCCCATTTTCCCCCCAGATTTGGCTTTGGAAGGAGGCTGGAAATGGCTCCAGAACCCCAAAAATTCCCAGAAATTCCCAATTTTTCCCCAGCTTTGGTTTCAGAGAGAAGCCGGGAGCTCCTCTGGCATTCCCAGAATCCCAGAATTTCCAAAAAATTCCCAGAATTTTCCAATTTTCCCCGGATTTGCTTTCAGAGAGAGTCCGGGAATAGCTCCGGAACCCCAAAAATTCCCAGAAATTCCCAAAAATTCCCAATTTTCCCCAGATTTGGTTTTGAAGAGAGTCCGGGAATGGCTCTGGAACCCTAAAAATTCCCCAAAATTCCCCGAAATTCCCGATTTTTCCCCATCTTTGGTTTCAGAGAGAGGCTGGGAGGGCCCCTGGCATTCCCAGAATCCCTGAAATTCCCGGAAATTCCCGATTTTTCCCGTTTTTCCCCCAGATCACGCGGCGCTACGCCGAGTTCTCCTCGGCCATCGTCAGCATCAACCAAACCCTGCCCAGCGAGAGGAGCGACGCCCTGCTGGCCCGGCTGCAGGTGCTGGCCCAAACTGGGAGGGACTGGGACAAAAATTGGGGGACTGGGGGGGACTGGGACAAACTGGGAGGGACTGGGAGGGACTGGGAGCAAAAAACGGGGAAAAAATCGGCCAAGAAATGGGGAAAAAATGGGGAAAAATCTGAATTTTGGGGTGGAAATTGATGGGGAAATGGGGATTGGGGGATACTGGGACGGACTGGGAGGGACTGGGACGAACTGGGAGGGATTGGGAGTGAAAAACGGGGAAAAAATCGGCCAAGAAATGGGGAAAAAATGGGGAAAAATCTGAATTTTGGGGTGGAATTGATGGGGAAAGGGGGATTGGGGGATACTGGGACGGACTGGGAGGGACTGGGACGAACTGGGAGGGATTGGGAGTGAAAAACGGGGAAAAAATCCAAAAAGAAATAGGGAAAATCTGAAAAAAGGGGGATAAAATCTGATTTTTGGGGTGAAATGGATCAGCAAATGGGGATTGGGGGATACTAGGACAAACTGGGAGGGACTGGGAGGGACCCCATTTTCCTTTTTTTCCCCCATTTTCCCCCATTTTTCCCATTTTCCCCCCATTATTTCCCCATTTCCCCCATTTCTTCTCCAATTTTCCCCATTTTCCCTCATTTTCCCCCTTTTTCCCGCCATTATTTCCCCATTTCCCCCCATTTCTTCTCCAATTTTTCCCATTTTCCCCCATTTCCCCCCATTATTTCCTCATTTTTCCTATTTTTCCCCATTTTTCCCATTTTCCCCCATTTTTCCCCCTTTCCCCCTATTTTCCCCCATTATTCCCCATTTTTCCCATTTCCCCCATTATTTCCCCCCATTTTCCCCATTTTTTCATCCTTTTTCCCCCATTTCCCCCATTATTCCCCATTTTCCCCCATTATTTCCCCATTATTTCCCCATTATTTCCCAATTCCCCCCATTTTTCCCATTATTTCCCCCCAATTTTTCCCTCATAATTTCCCCTTCTTCCCGCCAATTTTTCCTCAATTTTTCCCCAAATTTCCCCCATTGTTTTCCACATTATTTTCCCCATTTTCCACCCATAATTTCCCCCATTTCCCCTATTTTTCTCCATTTTACCCCCATTATTCCCCCATTTTTCCCATTATTTCCCCCCAATTTTTCCCTCATAATTTCCCCTTCTTCCCGCCAATTTTTCCTCAATTTTTCCCCAAATTTCCCCCATTGTTTTCCCCATTATTTCCCCATTATTTCCCCATTATTTCCCAATTCCCCCCATTTTTCCCATTATTTCCCCCCAATTTTTCCCTCATAATTTCCCCTTCTTCCCGCCAATTTTTCCTCAATTTTTCCCCAAATTTCCCCCATTGTTTTCCACATTATTTTCCCCATTTTCCACCCATAATTTCCCCCATTTCCCCTATTTTTCTCCATTTTACCCCCATTATTCCCCCATTTTTCCCATTATTTCCCCCCAATTTTCCCCTCATTATTCCCCCTTTTCCTGCCAATTTTCTCCCATTTCCCCATTATTTCCCCATTATTTTCTCCATTATTTTCCCATTATTCTCCCCATTTTTCCTATTTTCCCCATTATTTCCCCCTTTTTTCCCTATTTTCCCCCATTTCCCCCATTATTTCCACATTTTCCCCATTTTTCCCCATCTCCCCCCCCATTTTCCCACATTATTTCCCCATTTTTCCCCATTTTCCCACTTTTCTCCCCATTTTCCCCCATTTCTTCTCCAATTTTTCCCATTTTCCCCCCATTTCCCCCCATTATTTCCCCCATTTTCCCCATTTTTCCCCATTTTTCCCATTTTCCCCCGTTTTCTCCCCATTTTCTCCAGCTGGAGGTTGAGAACCTGGTGCTGCGCGCGGCCGCCGAGTTCCCCTCGCGCCGGGAGCAGCTCGTCTTCCTCATCAACAACTACGACATGATGCTCAGCGTGCTCATGGTAACCCCAGAATTCCCAAAATTCCCCAAAATTCCCACATTTCCCAAAAAAATCCCCCCCAAAATCGACCAAAAATAGCAAAAAATGGCCCAAAAATGGCCCCAAAATGACCAAAATCGCCCCAAATTCCACCCGAGCAGCCCCAATTCCTCATCCACAACTACGACAGGATGCTCAGCGTGCTCATGGTAACCCCAGAATTCCAAAAATTCCCCAAAATTCCCACATTTCCCCCAAAAAATCCCAGTGAAAATGGCCCAAAAGAGCAAAAAATGGCCCAAAAATGACCAAAAATGGCAAAATCGCCCCAAATTCCACCCGAGCATCCCAAATTCCTCATCCACAACTACGACAGGATGCTCGGCGTGCTCATGGTAACCCCAGAATTCCCAAAATTCCCAAAAATTCCAAATTTCCCCCAAAAAATCCCCTTGAAAATGGCCCAAAATAGCAAAAAATGGCCCAAAATTCACCAAAATCGCCCCAAATTCCACCCGAGCAGCCCCAATTCCTCATCCACAACTACAAGAGGATGCCCAGCGTGCTCATGGGAACCCCAGAATTCCCAAAATTCCCAAAAATTCCCAACCCCCCCCCAAAAATCCCAGGGAAAATGGGCCAAAAACAGCAATAAATTGCCTGAAACCCCAGAAAATGCCCCAAAACACCCCAGGATTCTCTCAAATTCCCCTAAATTCCCACTAATTTCCCCAAAATTCCCCCCAAATTCCCCTCTTTACCCCAAATTTCCAAATTTTCCCTTTCAAATTTATTATTTTTCCCCAAAATTCCCCCTAATTTCCCCAAAATTCCACTTAAATTCCCCTTTTTCCCCCAAATTTCCAAATTTTCCAATCAAATTTATTCTTTTCCCCCCAAATTCCCTGTTTTTCCCCTAAATTCCCCTTTCCCTGCAAATTTCCCAATTTTTCCCCATCAAATTTATTATTTTCCCCCCAAATTCCCCATTTTTCCCTCCAAAGTTCCCAATTTCCCCCAAATTCCCCTTTTTCCACCAATTTTTCCCATCAAATTTATTATTTTCCCCCCAAATTCCCCATTTTTCCCTCCAAAGTTCCCAATTTCCCCCAAATTCCCCTTTTTCCACCAAATTTTCCCATCAAATTTATTATTTTCCCCCCAAATTCCTCCTAATTTCCCCAAATTCCACCTAAATTCCCCTTTTTCCCCCAAATTTTCCAATTGTCCCCATCACATTTATTACTTTTCCCCCAAATCCCCCCAAATTTCCCCCAAATTCCACCTAAATTCCCCTTTTTCCCCCAAATTTTCCAATTGTCCCCATCACATTTATTACTTTTCCCCCAAATCCCCCCAAATTTCCCCCAAATTCCCCATTTTCCCCTGAATTCCCCCTTTTCCCCCAATTTCCCCCCAAATTTCCCAATTTTCCCATGAAATTTATTCTTTTACCCCAATTTTCCCCCTTTTTCCCCCCCGATCCCCCCCAAAGTTCCCAATTTCCCCCAAATTTCCCCCAAATTCCCCATTTCCCCCCAATCTCCCCCTTTTTTTCCCGGGCAGCTGGAAGGGCTGAGCCCCAAAATCCTTGGGGAAAATGGGGAAAAAATGGGAAAAATGGGGGGAAAATTGGGAAAATGTGGGGAAAAAATGGGGGAGAAATGGGGAAATAATGGGGAAAAAATAGGGAAAAAATGGCGGAAAATAGGGAAATAACTGGGAAAAATGGGGAAAAAAGTGGGAAAAAAATGGGAAAAAATTGGGAAAAAAGCAGGAAAACTTGGAATTGCTGGGAAATGTTTGGAATTCCTGATTGCAGCGCGGGTGACGCAGCTGATCCGCGGCTTCTCGGGCAGCTGGAAGGGCGCGGTGGAGGCGCTGAGCCAGGACGTGATGAGATCCTTCAGCAACTTCCGCATCGGCACCGGCATCATCCAGGTGGGCTCCAATCCCCCAAATTCCCACATTTCGGCCTTTCCCGCCTGTTCTCCTCATTCCCAGCTTTTTTACCACTGTATTTCACTTCTTTTTACCATTTTTTTCCCATTTTTCCCTCAGTTTCTCCCATTTTTCCCAAATTTTTTCCCATTTTTCCCTCAGTTTCTCCCATTTTTCCCAAATTTTTTCCCATTTTTCCCTAATTTTTTCCCATTTTTCCCACTTTTTTCCCATTTTCCCCTAATTTTTCCCTTTTTTCTCACTTTTTTCCCATTTTCCCACTTTTTTTCCCATTTCCCCCCCTACTTTTTTCCCATTTTTCCCTCATTTATTTTGGGCTCCAACCCCCAAATTCCCACATTTCGGCCTTTCCCGCCTGTTCTCCTCATTCCCAGCTTTTTTACCACTGTATTTCACTTCTTTTTCCCATTTTTTTCCCATTTTTCCCTCAGTTTCTCCCATTTTTCCCAAATTTTTTCCCATTTTTCCCTAATTTTTTCCCACTTTTTTCCCATTTTTCCCTAATTTTTCCCTTTTTTCTCACTTTTTTCCCATTTTCCCACTTTTTTTCCCATTTCCCCCCTACTTTTTTCCCATTTTTCCCTCATTTATTTCCACTATTTTTGTTTTTCCCCCGATTTTTCCCATTTTCCCTCTCTTTTTTCCCATTTTCCCCTCACTTTTCCCATTTCTCCTCTCATTTTTTCTTCCTTTTGCCCCATTTTGCCCTCTTTTTTTTCCCCTATTTTTTCACAATTTTCCACCATTTTCCCCTCACTTTTCCCATTTCTCCTCTCATTTTTTCTTCCTTTTGCCCCATTTTGCCCTCTTTTTTTTCCCCTATTTTTTCACATTTTCCCCACTTTTTTTCCCTTTTTCTCCTCTTCTTCCCCTCAATTTCCCCCCTCCTTTTTAACCCATTTTTCCCCGATTTTTCCCGGTTTTCCCCTCCTTTTTCCCATTTTCCTGCTTTTTTTCTCATTTTTTCTTCTTTTTTCCCCTCCATTTTTTTCCCACATTTCACTCATTTTTCCCTATTTCCACTATTTTTGTTTTTCCCCCGATTTTTCCCATTTTCCCTCTCTTTTTTCCCATTTTCCCCTCACTTTTCCCATTTCTCCTCTCATTTTTTCTTCCTTTTGCCCCATTTTGCCCTCTTTTTTTTCCCCTATTTTTTCACATTTTCCCCACTTTTTTTCCCTTTTTCTCCTCTTCTTCCCCTCAATTTCCCCCCTCCTTTTTAACCCATTTTTCCCCGATTTTTCCCGGTTTTCCCCTCCTTTTTCCCATTTTCCTGCTTTTTTTCTCATTTTTTCTTCTTTTTCCCCCCCCTTTTTTTCCCACATTTCACTCATTTTTCCCATTTTTTTTCTTTCTTGAATCCAGGGGGGGAAAAAGGGGAAAAATTGGGGAAAAAAAACAGGGAAAAACAGGGAAAAAACAGGAGAGTGGGAGGGAAAAAATGGGGGGGGAAATGGGGGAAAAAAACAGGAAAAAGAGGGGAGAAATGGGAAAAAGGTGGGAAAAAGTGGGGAAAATGTGGAGAAAAGGGGGGGAAATGGTTGAAAGATAGGGAAAAAGGGGAGAAAAAATGGAGAAAAAGCGGGGGAAAAAAAGGGGTGTGGAGAAAAAAATGGGGAAAAAAACAGGAGAAAAATGGGGGGAAAAGGGAGAGAAAAAATGGAGAAAAAATGGGGGGAAAAGAGTGGGGGGAGGGAGGAGGAAAAAACGGGAAAAAAAAGAGAAAAAACAAGGAAAAAATAGGAGAAAAATGGAAAAAAAGAACACAGGAAAAAATGGGGGAAAAAAGGGAAAATACAAGGAAAAATGGGGAAAAAATGGGAAAAAAGGAAGGAAAAATGGAGAAAAAGGAGGGGGGAGGAAAAAATGGGGAAAAAATGGGGAAAAGCCCGGAAAAAAACAGGAGGAAATGGGGGAAAATTGGGGGAAAATGGGGGGAAAATGGCAAAAAGGAAAAAATGGAGAAAAAGAGGGGAAAAAAAGCAGGGGGGGGAGGAAAAAATGGAAAAAATGGGAAAAAAACAACAAAAAAAAGGGGGAAAATCAGGGAAAAATGGGAAAAAATCAGGGGGAAATGGGAGAAAAACAGGAAAAAAATGGGGGAAAAAATGGGGAAAAAATGGGGAAAAAATGGAGAAAAAGGGGGAAAATGCAGAAGAAAGGAGGGAAAATGGTTGAAAAATGGGGAAAAAGGGAGAAAAAATGGAGAAAAAAAGGGAAAAAAGAGGGGGAGGAGGAGAAAAAAATGGGGAAAAAACAGGAAAAAAAAACAGGAGAAAAATGGGGGGAAATGGGCGAAAAAGGGAGAAAAAATGGAGAAAAAATGGGGAAAAAATGGGGGGAGGGAGGAGAAAAAAATGGGAAAAAACAAGGAGAAAAATGGAAAAAAAACCACAGGAAAAAATGGGGGAAAAAAAGGGAAAAAACCAGGAAAAAATGGAGAAAAATGGGGAAAAAATGGGGAAAAAATGGGAAAAAAGTGGGAAAAAAATGGGGAAAAATGGGGAAAAGTGGGGAAAAAGTGGGATAAAATTTGGGCAAAGTTGGGAATTGTCCTTGGTGTGTGGCAGGCGGCGCTGACGCAGCTGATCCAGGGGGAAAAGGGGAAAAATGGGAAAAATGGGGGAAAAAATGGGGGGAAAAAGGGAAAAAATGATGGAAAAAGGGGAGGAAAAATGGATGAAAATGGAGAAAAAAGAGGGGGGAAGGGGAAAAATGGGGAAAAAACCAGGAAAAACGGGGGGGAAATGAAAAAGTGGGAAAAAGTGAGGAATAAATGGCGATAAAATGGGGAAAAAAATGGGGAAAAATTGGAAAAAAAATGGGAAAAATGGGAAAAAATGGGGAAAAAAGGGGAAAAAAACCAGGGAAAAATGGGGAAAAAGTGGGCTAAAATCTGGGCAAAGCTGGACTTGTCGGTGGTGTGCGGCAGGCGGCGCTGACGCAGCTGATCCAGGTGTACCACCGCTTCCAGAAGGTTCTGGAGCAGCCCCCGCTGCGGGCGCTGCCGGCGCGCGCCGACCTCATCAACATCCACCACCTGATGGTGGAGCTCAAGAAGCACAAACCCAACTTCTAGCGGCACAAAATCCCGGGAATCCGCCCCAAAAATCCCGGGAATGCGCCCCAAAAATCCTGGGAGTTCACCCCAAATCCCACGGCCTGGTTTGGCCCCGAAATTCACATTTTTTCCTCCCAAAATTCCCATTTTTTCCTCCAAAAATTCCCATTTTTTCCTCCCAAAATTCCCATTTTTTCCTCCAAAAATTCCCATTTTTTCCCCCAAAATTCCCATTTTTTCCTCCCAAAATTCCCATTTTTTCCCCCAAAATTCCCATTTTTTCCTCCCAAAATTCCCATTTTTCCCTCCAAAATTCCCTTTTTTTTTTTTTCCCAAAATTCCCTTTATTTTTTCTACAAAATTCCCTTTTTCCCCCCAAAATTCCCATTTTCTGCCTGAATTCTGCACAAGGATGCTGGGATGGAGGGACCCCAAAAATCCCAGGAGTTCACCCCAAATCCCATGGCCTGGTTTGGCCCCAAAACTCCCATTTTCCCCCCCAAAATTCCCTTTTTCCCCTCCCAAAATTCCCATTTTTTTCCCCCAAAATTCCCATTTTTTTCCCTCCAAACTTCCCATTTTTTCCCTCCAAAATTCCCATTATTCCCCCCAAAATTCTTATTTCCCCCCTTGAAATTCCCTTTTTTTTGCCCCATAATTCCCATTTTTTCCCAAAATTCCCTTTATTTTTTCCCCAAAAATTTCCATTTTTTTTCCCCCCGAAATTCCCTTTTTTCCTCCCCAAAATTCCCATTTTCTGCCTGAATTCTGCCCAGGGATGCTGCGATTGAGTGATGGAGGGACCCCAAAATCCCAGAAATTCACCCCAAAACTCCCAGGAATCCTCCCCCAATCCCAAATTTCCCGTTTTTCCCCCCAAAATTCCAGCTGGGAATAAAAACCGGAGGCTCCGAGTGTTGCTTTATTGCTGCTGGTGACAGCGGGGGGGGAAATTTGGGGAATTTTTGGGGAATTTTGGGGTGTCTTGGTGAGCTTTGGGGTCCCCCCACACCCCCCTGGCTCCAGGGGACCCCGAAATTCCCCAAAATTCCCCAAAAATTCCCCAAAATTCCTGAAAATTCCCCCCAAAATCTGAGCCCCCCCCCACCGGGGAGTGAGGGGGGAGGGGCCCTGAGGGGGTTTTGGGGATCCCCAAGTGACTTTCGGGGTCCCCAGGTGGATTTTGGGATCCTCAAGTGAATTTTGGGGTCCCCAAGTGAATTTTGGGGATCCCCACGTGAATTCTGGGGATTTTGGGATCCCCAAGTGAATTTTGGGGTCCCCAGGTGGATTTTGGGGTCCCCAAGTGGATTTTGGGGTCCCCAGGTGGATTTTGGGACCTCCCAGGATAAATTTTGGGGTCCCTGGGTTGAATTTTGGGGTCCCCCGGTTGGATTTTGGGGTACCCGTGCCATTTTTTCCTCCCAAAATTCCCATTTTTCCCTCCAAAATTCCCTTTTTTTTTTTTTCCCAAAATTCCCTTTATTTTTTCTACAAAATTCCCTTTTTCCCCCCAAAATTCCCATTTTCTGCCTGAATTCTGCACAAGGATGCTGGGATGGAGGGACCCCAAAAATCCCAGGAGTTCACCCCAAATCCCATGGCCTGGTTTGGCCCCAAAACTCCCATTTTCCCCCCCAAAATTCCCTTTTTCCCCTCCCAAAATTCCCATTTTTTTCCCCCAAAATTCCCATTTTTTTCCCTCCAAACTTCCCATTTTTTCCCTCCAAAATTCCCATTATTCCCCCCAAAATTCTTATTTCCCCCCTTGAAATTCCCTTTTTTTTGCCCCATAATTCCCATTTTTTCCCAAAATTCCCTTTATTTTTTCCCCAAAAATTTCCATTTTTTTTCCCCCCGAAATTCCCTTTTTTCCTCCCCAAAATTCCCATTTTCTGCCTGAATTCTGCCCAGGGATGCTGCGATTGAGTGATGGAGGGACCCCAAAATCCCAGAAATTCACCCCAAAACTCCCAGGAATCCTCCCCCAATCCCAAATTTCCCGTTTTTCCCCCCAAAATTCCAGCTGGGAATAAAAACCGGAGGCTCCGAGTGTTGCTTTATTGCTGCTGGTGACAGCGGGGGGGGAAATTTGGGGAATTTTTGGGGAATTTTGGGGTGTCTTGGTGAGCTTTGGGGTCCCCCCACACCCCCCTGGCTCCAGGGGACCCCGAAATTCCCCAAAATTCCCCAAAAATTCCCCAAAATTCCTGAAAATTCCCCCCAAAATCTGAGCCCCCCCCCACCGGGGAGTGAGGGGGGAGGGGCCCTGAGGGGGTTTTGGGGATCCCCAAGTGACTTTCGGGGTCCCCAGGTGGATTTTGGGATCCTCAAGTGAATTTTGGGGTCCCCAAGTGAATTTTGGGGAAACCACCCCAAAAATCCCCCAGGACCCGTTCAGGGGCTGGGGGCAAAAATCGGGGTCAGAACCCCCAAAAATAACCCAAAAATACCCCAAAACCACCCCAAAAATCCCCCAGGACCCGTTCAGGGGCTGGGGGCAAAAAACGGGATTTCAGGTATCAAAAAACCCAAAAACCACCCCAAAAATACCCAAAAAACCACCCCCAAAAATCCCCCAGGACCCGTTCAGGGGCTGGGGGCAAAAAACGGGGTCAGAACCCCCAAAAATACCCAAAAACCGCCCCAGGACCTGTTCAGGGGCTGGGGACACAAAATCGGGGTCAGAACCCCAAAAAATCGGGGTCAGAACCCAAAAAACAACCAAAAATCACCCCCAAAAATCCCCCAGGATCCGTTCAGGGGCTGGGGACACAAAATCGGGGTCAGAACCCCCAAAAAACTCAAAAACCACCCCAAAAAAACCGCCCAGGACCCATTCAGGGGTGGGGGCAAAAATCGGGGATACAGGCTTGAAAAAACCACCCCAAAAATACCCAGAAATATCCCAGAAATCTCCCAGAAATAACCCCAAAAATACTTCATAAATAACCCAGAAATAATAACAAGTCCTCAAAAAATAACCCAAAAGTTAACCCAAAAAAACCCCAAAACCCCCAGGACCCGTTCAGGGGCTGGGGGCAAAACATCGGGGTTACAGGCACCAAAACCCCAAAAATAACCCAAGAAATATCCCCCAAAATACCCAAAAATAACCCCAAAAATCACCCCAAAAAAACCCCAAAAATAACCCAGAAACAACCCCAAAATAACCCAAAAAATATCCCCCAAAATACAAAAAAATAACCCCAAAAAATATCCCCCGAAATAACCCCAAAACCACCCCAAAAAACCCCCCAGGAGCCGTTCAGGGGCGGGGGGCACAAAATTGGGGTTACAGGCACCAAAAACCTCCTAAAATAACCCAAAAATA